GGCTGGTCTGGAGAGCAAGAAACAAGCTCAGGCATTGGGCTTTTCCACACATGCCTCTGCCTCACTCTCCCTACTTCCTGTCCCAGTCCCCCCAGGAGCTGGAAGAAGGAAGACAGAGTCACTCAGGGAGCCAGGGTCACAAAGGCCCCTGCAGATGCATCTGCATATGCACACAGTGGGTGGGTGGGGGTCCCATATCAGTCCTTTACCCCATGGCCCAGCTCTCCCTGGCCCTGCTCCTCAGTCTTACCGATCCTACTTTGCTCAGCAGCTGCTCCTCAGCCTTGCTAAACAGGGCCTTGCTCTGGATGGCTGCAATGGCCTCTGGGTGCAGCTGTCTCATAGCCTGGCAGGCCAGCCTGGACACAGGAAGAGGTAGAGGGCAGGGCTAAAAAGCGGGTGTCAAGCAATCTGGGGTTCCTACTTCCTCCAAACCTGTGGGCTTTTGAGATCCAGAACCTAGAGACCAGGCCCTCAACAGAAAGAGCCCAAAGCTCAGCATAGGACCTGTGTTCCCCAAGGGTTTGTCAAATGAATGCACAGGCAACTCAGGAAACTGAGGTCCCTATGTCTCCTTAAGGCCCAGTCCTGAGGCAGATCCTGAGAGCAGCTGCTGCTTCCTCCCAAGTCCTTCCTCCTTACTTGGCCAAAGCTGCTATCCCCTAGCCACTGCCTACCACCTCCTCTTTCCCAAGCTAAGCCCAGCCCATTTCCTGATGTATCAGGACAGTGGCTACAGTTTAAGTGGTGCCAGGGGCTGTGGAGGAGGAGATGGGCGTTAAGCATCCAACCAATCTCTGAAGACATTAAGTGACTGAGGAGGAGGAAGAGTGTGTGCTGCATGTGTACATGGGTTTATTTGGAAGCCTGCTATTGGAGCAGCGAGGGGGCTTGGTGTTCTTCTGTTCAACTGTCTCTTCTTAGGAGGAAGAAACTATAGGTCAGTTGGACAGGCTGGGAGGTGACCTGCCCAAAGCCACAATGCACACAGTGGTGGAACCAGGGCTCCTGGCACTCATTTGGGTCTTTTCTCCCATACTACTCCCTTTGCTTTCAGGTTCCTATGGCTAGAGGCAGAAAGATTTTTCCCTTTGAAGCCCAGCATCACCTGGGGGATGCAAGGCGGCCCCCGGGAGCTCTGCCTCCTGGGCCCCTCCTTTGAGCCCTGGTTCAGTTCTCTCTGCTCCAGGAGCCCAGTTCTGGTGTCCCCCGTACCTCCCCCCTGCTGGAGCCAGCCCACTCACTTGGAGATGACAGGATCGTAGAGCAGGGCATACCAGCGCTCCTGGACTTCCCGAAGGGTGAAGCGGCAGCTGAACTTCACGCCCAGGTGAACAGATGTCAGGTCGTTGGTCTGCAAGGCCCCAGAGGGGTTTGCTCCAGCCTTAGAGTTGGAAAGAACCCACCCCTTGCCACCCATAGGGAGGCTGGGAACTGGAGCCTGGAGTAAAGGGGGACACGAACCCATGGCGGGAAGCACTTACCTGCAACACAGCATTGATGAGCAGGAGGTCATCCGCAGGCTTCCAGCGGCCCAGATCCTTGGTCACCTGAAGGGGCTGTTTGCTCTTCTTCACACGCTTGGTGAGTCCAGGGGCTGGGGCTGGGCTGGGCGGCACAGGAGTGCTGGGGGTCTTGGATACCTAGGCAGAGGATAGTAACAGGGTGAGCTTAAAGCCAGAATCAGGGCAGCTGAGGCTTCAGACCTAGAGATCTACATACTCTGGGGCAGCCCCAGCACAGGAAGGGAGTTCAGCTTTCTAATACCTACCCCCTCCCCCCGCCAAATTATTTCTACATCACCCTTGGCCATATGGGGTCTTCTCTTTACTGGCGGCACCCCCAACCCCAGAGTGAAGGGTGGGTGGGGAGGACACCAGGAAAACACTCTTGCTGATACAGTGTCTAGGGCCAGAGCAATGCCACCTGGGGGTTATTTTTACACGCTGCAATGCTGGGAACAGGCTGTCTGCTCCCAGAATAGATGCACGCTCCATGCCTCCCACATGGAATGTGATACAGGATGCATCGGCAGGGCTGGGGGGTGGGTGCAGCAAGAAAGGAGGAGCAGGAAGAGATGGGCTCCCAGGAGAGAGGCAGCTGAGATCAGGACTGCGGCAGCTTGGTCCTCTCACCGGCCTCCTCTCCAGGGCTCTTGGCAGCTGGCAAAGGTTCTGGGGAGACACGAAATCTGGCGCTGCTCCCCATTCCCTGCACTTCCCAAACCCTCACCTTCTTCTTCTCACTGGAGGAGGGTTCACTTCCCGAACAGCGCCCCGGTTCCACCCCACTGGCTCCCTTCGCCCGGGTAGAGGATTTTGCCAGGCTGCTCTCCACCAACTCATCATCAAACTTCTTCCTCTTGATGAACCTGTGGAGGGCACCGCCCAGTGAACACTCCTTACCCCTCCCTGGTACCCATTCACACACACCCAGCCGCCAAAACAGAGCAGGTTCCCAGCAGGGTGCTAACTGCTCCTGCCTGCTTTCACTTTATACCAGAGTCAGGCTCCGTGGGCACAGAACTGCTACACTTCAGCCCCAAGATGACAGGGAATTGTACCACAAAGACGTCACAGTGGAGCCTTGAGATCTCTCTCCCCTGCCCTCAGTACCATGGAGAGGGATTTAGTAGGCACTGGAAAAGCACAAGGCTCTGCCACCACTTGGGCCCCACAGGGGCTTGGGTAGCCATTCCCACCAGGGGTAAAGGCATGTGGCACCTAATACCACAGACCTTCTTCCCTTTCCCAGTCCTGGCCCTCAGGACCCTTACTACCTGGAGGAGCTTCTCCGTTTAGGGATGGTGCCCAACGCCTGGGAGGAGGCTCGCTTCTGCCCTGCCAGCGACTCCTCATCCTCCGAGCGGCTGGCAGTGCCTGATGCCATCAGGGATGAATCTAGCAGCCCCTGAGAATCTAGAAAAAGAGAAATGGTGAATTCAGGCCTGCTAAGTACCTAGCAGAGACTTGTGCCTCAGCAAATGGAACCCTCCTCAGCCCCTCTTCCTCTGCCAGCCCCATCAGCCCCTCCGCTGCCTCCTTGACACTTGAGGTTTTAAGATGGGAGTTCCTTGGCCATCCAGATTCCAGTTGGGCTCAGACCTGGCCCAGACCTTCCACGCTGGGCAGTTCCCCCGGTGACACGTGTCATGTCGTGCAGCACGTGGTGCTCAGGTCAGACTGGTGAGGCCGACACACCGGGCTCTGGGCACAACTGCTCCCTCTGCCATCAAAATGCAGCCATGCCAAAGAGCAGCAGCTCAACAGCAAGTCCATCAATTGTGGCTCTGCAGACAGGTATGTGGGTGGTGCTGGCCCAGGGGGAGGTGGCAATGCCCAGCCAGGACCGAAAGACACACGTGCCAGTTACAGGGTGGAATCAGCAGATGCTTGTTGCCCGAGCATTTGGGGAGCTGGCCCGGCCTCATACTACCTTTGTCCATTCTCTTACAGTTCCAAAGCCACTGGTTCCAAACCACAGGGCTAGGAGGAAGGGTCCCACAGGCTCATCCAAGGATTCTGACCAGGTGAGCTTAGAGGCTGAGAGGAGATTCTGCAAAGGAGAAATGAGGCTCCCTGAGGCTCAGATTTCCAACTGGCCAGCCTCACCTCCCTATACAGGCTCAGGTCTCCCAGGGTCCCATAAACTTGGGAAGACACGAGGAGAGAAAACAGGCATAAGGCCCTAGTCTGTCAATATTTCCCTTAAAAACCAGTAGCTTGCAAAGGTCACTCATACCTTTGAGAGCATGAGAAAAGCTATGGACTCCAGAAAAACACACAAACACATATTATACTACTTATAATTCCTGGTTAAGCACCTCAATTATAAACCACGGAGAGACAAGGCTTCTTGGTTGGCTTTTTCTTTCTGTTTACTCAGCTCTGCAGCACCACCCTTCCCCTCCCTGGGCAGAGGTTGGGGTGAGGGAGATAGAACTCCCACCGGTCCAACTCCTTGGGTTTCTGTCTGTCTGGTTTGCAGCTTTTGCTGAAGATTTAGTGAGTGGTACCTTGCACAAGCCAAAAATCGCGGTTTGGCAACGGCGTGAATATCAGTTGCCCTGGGCTCCCTCCCCAACCCCTGGAGAACTCAGGTACTAGACTTTCTGGGGGCTACACTTGCGGGTCCCTGCCCCTTCTGACCAGGGTGGCTCTTAGCGCAGCGTTCTGGCCCTGTCCCCAGGTGGGAACGTCGCGCCGCTCCATAGGATACGGCTGGGAACCTTGACACCTGAGGAGAGGGCGAAGGGGCCTGAGCTCGCGGGCAGAATGAGGCAGAGTCTGCGTCCCCTTCCTTCCCCGGCTGTCCGCCCCTCGTTCTCCCCCAAGTGCACATCCAAAGTCCAGCTCTGTTTCAAGGGCTCCGGTGATGAAGCCAGCTCTGCAACTTAAAGCAGAGCACCAGTGAGCACCAATGCTCTCGTAGCCTTGCTTTCAGACCCACAGGCTGGTGGCAGGAAAGGGGGCGTCAACCCCCTAGCCAATTTTCACCCCACCTTCGGCATGTCACTTTTGCGCATGCGTGACACCTCGGGCTAGATTCTAGTCCGGTCCGGCCCACGCATGCGCAGATTTTCGGGGCGCTACCTGGGCGGGGCCCCAAACCTTGGGGGGGGTCGTCCCCGGCAGCACTATGGGAAACTCCATTTCACCCCAACTCCACTCAGAACCCTCAGAGGCGAATCACGAGCTCTCACCATTCCTAGGCTGCCAGCTCCAACAATTTCTCCGCGGCGACGGCAGCAGCCGCAGGGCCAAAGCCGGCTTCCGTGAGGTACGTCTACTTCCGGGTTACGAACTAAGGCCTGGCGATCGCTTCCGGTTCGTCTTGGGAACGTGAGTGACGGGGCGTGGCCGTGGCCCCGAGAATGTCACCACGTTGCTAATAGCCGAAAGTAAAGGCTTTCCCAATTGGGACTGCATGCAGGGAAATGTTAGGGGTTATGGACGCCGGAGAGTTGCCCGGCTCGAAGGAGCGTTTGAAGGAAAAGGCGAGACTTGGGGCCGAGACCGAGCGGGGCGATCCGAGGCGACGCTGGGCGGGGCCGCGGACTGGATTTTGGGTTTTGAGTTCCTACGGGTTATAGGAGTCTCTGAGAGTTTCACAGGACCAATTATGCATCGTTTGGTTCTGCCAGCGGTGTTCGAGAAGGTGATCTGCCTGGTCCCGTCTTAAGCACAAGACGGAGAGAGAGTGTTGAACTCGCTATAGCGGGGAGGTGTGGCGTACAGAGGGGGCTGGGAGGTTATTGTCTAAGGAGCGGATGGAGGGTCGTGGGGCCGCGTAACTAAGAAGGTAAGGACCCTGGAAGAAGAAGCGGTGCCCGGTTGATCCCTTCAGCCTGACCCTGCCTGGCCTGCTGCGGGGGCAGTTGTGGGCGCTGGGAGATGAGAGAAAGAAGACCAATGGAAGCACCTTCAGAGGAGGGGTGCCCTGGAGGGAATCTTGGGATGGCAGAATGAGGTCATCGGAAAAGTTGGGAGTTTGGGGCTGTGAGAGGTGCCTGGGAAAACTAGAAAGACTGTCTTCTAAAGGAGTTCTCTTTGTCTTATGCTCCCTTTGCGGGACCCAGAAGTGTAGCAGCTCTAGAGAAACATACTTCGGCTCAGAATGAGGAGGATCCAATTCAAAGCTGTCCCGCAGCCTTGGCGGCCCCTTCAGCGGAGATGTCAAGCACACATCACCATGTCATTGACAGAGAAATCAAATGTGAAACGGGAGACTGGCCCTTCTGGCCTTGACAATGTATGATAGCCCTCTGCTTCAAGAGTGCCCACCTTATTACTGTCCTGCAGGACTTGCTTAGTGAGTATGTACCTATTTTATCTCCCATGAAAGATGAGTTTTCTAACAGGCACCTGGGTATACTGTGATGTAAATCTATGAGAATATCAGACAACCAATAAAATACTCTTTATAAAAATTAGTTACATAGGAAATTATTAGTAGTATTGATAAATATTAAATATATGAATGATAATAATAATAATAATTTTTTTTTTTGAGTTGGAGTTTCACTCTGTCGCCCAGACTGGAGTGCAGTGGCCGCTCCCGGCCACCGCAGCCTCGACCTGCTGGGCTCCGGCGATCCTTCCGCCTCAGCCTTCCAAGTAGCCGGAATTACAGGCGCGCGCTACCACGCCCGGCTGATTTTTTGATTTATTGTAGAGATGAGGTCTCGCTCCCCAGGTGGGTCTCGAACCCGCGGGCTCAAGCAGATAATAATTATTAAAAGCCTATAGAGGAAAAGACAATGGAAGGAAACACCCCAAAATAATAACATATTTTATGTCCAAGTTGTAGAAGAAGTGATTTTTTTCTTTCATTTTCCAATTTTTCTGTGCATGGTACTTATTTTACACGGAAAAAATAAAGAAGTAAATATAAAACTTGAGTGAGAGAGGAGAAAGAAGAATTCCTGTCTTCCAGGGACTTGTACTTCTCTACCTCAAGGTCCTCTGTCACTAGGGAAAAGTGGTTGTCACCATCTTCCAGCTGGTACCTGAAGATTCATACATCTCCTCTGGACCTCCATCCACCATAATATTGAATAAAAAGAGACCTGGGCAACCTTGTGGTATAGATGCAGGGATCTCTAAAGGGCTGCTTCCTACCCAAGGTTGTATGTTTTCTGATACACAGTGTAGTGGACTATGCTAGGTATAGCGCAGTGTATATAAGTATACTGTCTGTACTAGATGAGAGTTATCAGGACAGTATTCTCTGAAGAGGTGACAATTGAGCTGAGATTTGATGGCTGATAAGGGACCAGTCATGGAAAGAGCTAGGGTAAAATGACCCAGTCAAAGGGGACAGCTGTTGCTCTGAAGCAGGAAGGAGTTTGGTGAGTTTGAGGAAGGAGCAGGGTGATCAAGAAAGAGAGGAGATGAGAACAGATAAGTCATCGGAGGGCAGATTGTTAGCCCTTGGAGTTCACAGTATGGCCTTTGGCCTTTGTTCTTAGTGCATTGGGAAGCTCTTAAAGGATTACAAGCAAGGGCATCCTAGGTTATGATTCAGTTTTTAAAACGATCCCTCTGGCTGCTTGTGAAAAACTGATTGGAGGAGGCAAAGGAGGAAGCAGAGAGATGGGGTAAGAGGCTGTTGCAGCAATTCAGGTGAGAGGAAAACCCAGGTGGTTTAGCTGGGTTGTGGGAATAGTGAAGATGGACAGAAACAGTGACTGGAGTATTTTGGAAGTAGAACCACAAGGACTTACTGATGGGTTGGATCTGGGATATGAAGGAAAAGGAAGAATCAGGTTGAGATCTAGATGTTTGACCTAAGAAACGGAGTGGATGGTGGAGTAACCCCTTAACAATATATCCAGAATCTGACTTGTCATACCAGCTTTTCCACTGTCTCCCCATCATCTGTCCTCTCTCATCTGGACTACTGCAAGAATTCCGTAACTGGTCTCACAGCTTTCATCCTCATTTCTCCTTCCTCAATTTATTCACAGCAGACAGGTTATTCCTATTAAAAGGAATAGGCGCAGTGGCTCACAGCTATAATCCCTGCACTTTGGGAGGCTGAGGTGAGAGGATTGCCTGAACCCGCTGGTTCAAGACCGGCTTGGGCAACTTGGCAAGACCTCATCTCTACAATAAATCAGAAGATTAGCCTGACAAGTAATGCATGCTTGTAGTTCCAGCTACTTGAAAGACTGAGGAGGAAGGACCCAGCGAATCGAGACTGTGGTGGCCATGAGCATGCCACTGCACTCCAGCCTGGGCAACAGAGTGAGATTCTGACTTAAAAAATAAATAAATAAATAAAATGAAAATCCATTCGTGTTCTGCCTCTGTTCAAAGACTTCCATCTTCCTCGGAATAAAAGCTCATGGTCTAGCCCCTGTTACCCCTCTGACTTCATTTCATGCTCCTCTCACCTGCCCCCCCCCTTTTTTGGAGTTAGAGTCTCACTCTGTCACCCAGGCTGGAGTGCGGTGGTGAGCTCACAGCCACCGCAGCCCTGACTTGCTAGGCTCGGGTGATCTTTCTGCTTCAGCCTTCCAAGTAGCTAGAACCACAGGTGTGTGACACCACACCCAGCTATTTTTTTTTTTTTTTTTGATGTAGAGACAAGGTCTCACCACGGTGCCCAGGCTGGTCTTGGACCCTTGGACTCAGGCAATCCTCTCACCTCTATCTCTCAGAGTGCTGGGATTACAGGCATGAGTCACCGTGCCCGGCTTGTTTGCTCTTTTAAAATTTTCAGTCACCATCCCTTGTACTCCCTACCTCTTCCTGGCTTTCTCCTTAGCCTGTATTATCTTCCTAAATATGATATAATTTACTTACTTTTTTCCGTTTATTGTATGTCCCACTGCAGTAGAATGTAAACTCCATGAGGGCAGAGGTTTGTGTCTGTTCACTGCTATAGTAGGTGCTTAATAAATATTTGTTTACTAAGTGTCTTGGGTAAGTTTACTGCAAAGAAATCTGTGGGAGGAATAGGTTTGTACAGGGGCAGAAAGAATTCTGTTTGAGACACATTAAGTTTGAGGAGCCTGTATCTTGGTGATGGTGTTGAGTAGAGAAGTACACTCAGGTCAGGGAAGAGGCCTGGACTGGAGATATACATAGGGAAATCAGTATCATGGAGATCTGGATGTGAATGCTTGGGGAGGCAGTGTAGAGTGAGGAAGATCCAAGATCACTGCATGGGGCATGCCAAAGTTTAAGGTAAGGTAGAGGAGAAGAAGCCAGGAAAGAAATAGAAGACATGGATATAAAGAAAAGCTAGCAATGGTACCGGTTAACCATCCCTGACCCTAGAGTACTGCAGTCTTCATAGTTGGGTACTCCTTCCCTCGGTAATGTGGCTTGCAGTGGAGGCCTCATCCGTGCTCCTCCTGGATCTTTGCTCAGGACCCAGGGTCCCTGATTCCAGGGGTTTGGAATACAGTAATTAAGAACACAGGCTCTGGAGTCAAACTACCTGGTTTTAGACCCTCTATCACCAACTAGCTTGTGACCGTGAGCAAGTTCCACTTCGGTGCCTCATTTCATCATCTGTGGAGAAATAATAGTACCCACTTCATTGGATGGTTCAGACGGATAAATCACTCCTTAAACAAATAAGTAGTATATAGAAGTGTTCAAAAAATGTTACTGTTCTTAGATCTTAGTGTCTCCTTCCCGGTGGTTCAGTGGTTTGAGTCTAGGATCCAGACTTTGAAAGCACAGCCCTTCCCCACTAAAGCAAAACCAGCTGTGCTCTCCACCAAGGGCTGTTACCCAGTCAGAGGACACAGGATCTTTCTACCATTGGCTCAAGTGCTTTATCTTCTGAGGGAGTGATGTTAAATAAAGCTATTGACCAGTACAAAGTTACCTTTGGATTTGCAGTGCAATTTAAGTTCATTTAAGTCTACTTGATGGCTATATATTGTTTTTTTTTCTTCTAAGGGAAGAGAAACCATCTGCAAAGAAAGAGTCTCATACACAGACTGAAACCTCTGAAGTGTCAATCCCCAGGTTAGAGAGTCAGAGACAAAACTTTGTGAAACTTGGAACTACTTTAACCTGACAATTTACACATCTCACTCTAAAAGCCAGAATCATGCTTAATGAAGAAACCTAGGTTATTCCCATTAATTTGATGTGACAAGGATGGCCCCTGTGACTAATTTTATTTAACACTGCTTTGGAAGTAGTGGACTCATAATTACAGAAGAAAAAGGAAATGAGATATAAAAAGTAGAAGTGTTAAAATATTTATGGTATGATAGCCTACCTGGAAAATCCAAGGACATCAACTGAAAAATGAATACAAATAAGATACTTTAGCAAAATGGGTACAAATTAATATATTGAAAAGATGAACAGCAGCCTATTAGAAATTATAAGGGAGTAAAATGTATCATTTACAACAGCAACAACAAAGTAAGTTAACCAAAAGCAATCCTAACAATAAATTTGCTAGATCTAGGTGCCCAAAACTAAAATGCTACCAAAGGACACAAAAGGAGGCTTGAATAAATGGAAAGGCATACTCTTTGGGGGCATAAAGATTCACAATCACTAGGATGTCAGCTCTCCATAAATTAATCTATAAATTTAACACGAATCTGAGCCCAGAAGGTCAAGGCTGTGATGAGCCATGATAGTGCCACTGCACTCCAGCCTAGGCAACAGAGTGAAACTCCCCAATTCAAAAAAACAAAACAAAAAGAACAGGCGCAATGGCTCATGACTGCAATCCCAGCACTTTGGGAGGCCAAGGTGAGAGGATTGCTTGAACCCAGGAGTTTGAGACCAGCCTAGGCAATATAGTGAGACCTTATCTCTACAAACAATAAAATTAGCTGAATGTGGTGGCACATGCTGGTAGTCCCGGCTACTCAAGAAGCTAAGGCAGAAGGCTTGCTTGAACCCAAGAGGTTGAGACTCTGGTGATCCATGATTGTGTCACTGCACTCCAGCCTGGGTTACACAGTGAAACCCCCAACTCCAAAGTGATCTTAACAATAAATGTGCTAGATCTAGGTGCCCAAAACTAAAATGTTACCAAAGGACACAAAAAGAGGCTTGAATAAATGGAAAGGCATACTCCATTTTTTGGTAGAAAGACTCACAATCATAAAGATGTCAGCTCTCCATAAATTAATCTATAAATTTAACACAATCTAATAAAAATACTAACAGACTACACAACCTGAATATAAAATTCATATGGAAATTTTTGCATCAAGAATAGTCATGGACATTTTGAAAAAGAAAGTTATTAATATCAAGACTAGTTCTACCAGATAGTAAATCATGAAAAGGTACAATAATTAAAATAGTAATACCCATGGGACACAAGCACACGCATAGGCAATTTGATCAAGAGAACAAAATAGTCCAGAAATAGACTCAAAACATTAAAACTTTTAGTATATATGATAAAGAGGGCATTGTCTGTGAGTTGGGAAAAGACGGACTATACAGTAAGTAGTATTAAGACAATTGTGTAGCCATCTGGAAAAAAATAATGTGGTGTCTCTACTGCATACACTAAAATAAATCCATATGAATCAACTGTGTTTAAATAAATGTAAAAGAGCAAAACTACAAATTTATAATGCTATAGTGGAGGAGGTATTTTTCAGAACAGCACAAAATTTCTCACAGCATTAAAAAACACAAATTCCATCAACATAAAAATCTATAATTTCTTCAGAACAAAAAACACCATAAACAAAGACAAATGGCAAACTGGGGGAAATATTTGCAACTCATATCACAAACAAAGGGACTAATTTGCTTAATATATACAAAATCTCTACAAATCAATATGAAAAAAACCAAAAATCCAATAAGAAAATGGGATGGTTAACAGAAAAGGGAAGATAAATAGTTCTTAAACATATGAACAAATACTTCACCTCACTCACAAGAAAATTGAAACTACATTTAGATGTAACTTTTCACCTACAGATGGGCAAAAAACCTAAATGTTTGACAATATACTCTTGGCATGGTTGTGGGGAAAGAAGCCCTCTTATGTTGCTGGTATAACTGCAATTTGTCAATACTTGTCAAAATTACAAATGTATATAATTTCTGATCCAATATACTTTCACACATGCAAGATAAACTATATACAAAATTGTCAACTATAGCACTGTTTATAGTAGCAAAAGTTTAGCACAAACAACCCAAACATCTGTCACTGGAAGACTAAATAAATCATGGTACATCCATACAATGGAATAGCACACAGCTAGGCGAAAAGCTTTCACAAAAGTCTTCATAGGACATGACTGAACTTTATCTTGAGAAAAACAAAGAGCCATTAAAGAGTTTTTAAGCAAGGGTATAGTATGCGCTCTGAATTTTAGATCTCTCTGGCTTAGTATGGAACATAGATTGAAACAGTAAAACTAGAGCCAGGGAGGCCAGTTGGTGGCCTAAATTAGGGTGGTCACTCAGGAGAAGACACTTCAGATGTAGACTGTGACAGAGCTTGGTGACAGATTGGATGAAGGCAAGAGATGAGGCCCTCATGATAGCCTGGTTTCTGACTTTGGCAGTGCCTAGAGACTGATGGTTGCATACTGAGACAGGAGGTACAAGTGGAGACACAGGTCTGAGGGGTTGAAGGAAAGATGGTGAGTTTCATTGGGATGAATCGAGTTAGAGGTGCCAGTGGCCAACCAGTTGAGACGTTCAGTTGGGTATTTGCATAGACAGCTCATCATCATTAGCTAACGTCTGAAGTCATAGCGGTAGAGTAAGTCGTCTTAGGATATCCCGCGGCATGAGGAGAGGAGAGCTTCCATGCACTGGAGCATCCCCTGGAGAGCACAGGCTGAAGATCATGAACCCCTACAGGAGCCAGAAGAATGTGGGGAGCGCAGGGAAGACAAGAAGGACAGCACAGGATGGCAACCAAGGGAAGAGAGTGGTAGGGCCTTACTGGTCTGTGTCGCTCACTTGATTTTAAATCCTCGAGAACATCAGCTGGGTTTTATGTTTCCTTGTTTTCTCTCTGTTTCATCTCGCCCTTGGTGAGCACGAGGTTTTTGCACATAATAGATGTGTCTGGGAACAAATAAGAGAGTGAGT